ACTGTTTTAGGAGATGCAACAGTATTTCCGCACATGCAAAATCTCTTCATATGAATATGGAATCTACATTTCTAAATGTGTAGCGGCATTCTTTAATCTTCAGGGTGTGAGTTCTGCTGTCTATTTATCTTCTCAAAAGAGAGATCAAACAGCGATAAAATTATCTGTAGTATGTTTAGGCAGTGATATAGCTCTTGAATTTGACAAAATAGTTTTCTGCTTTTTCAAGAAACATGAAAAAAATCATTAAAAATACACTATATTGCCAAAAGTATTGGGACGCCGGCCTTTACATGCACATGAACTTTAATGGCATCCCAGTCTTAGTCCGTAAGGTTCAATATTGAGTTGGCCCGGCCTTTGCAACTATAAACAGCTCCAACTCTTCTGGGAAGGCTGTCCACAAGGTTTAGGAGTGTGTCTATGGGAATGTTTAACCATTCTTCCAGAAGGGCATTTGTGAGGTCAGGTACTGATGTTGGACGAGAAGGCCTGGCTTGCAGTCTCCGCTCTAATTCATCCCAAAGGTATTCTATCGGGTTGAGGTCAGGACTCTGTGCAAGCCAGTCAAGTTCCTCCACCCCAAACTCGCTCATACATGTCTTTATGGACCTTGCTTTGTGCACTGGTGCGCAGTCATGTTGGAACAGGAAGGGGCCATCCCCAAACTGTTCCCACAAAGTTGGGAGCATGAAATTGTCCAAAATATCTTGGTATGCTGATGCCTTACAGAGGATTGCCAGACAGAGAAGCGTGATTCATCACTCCAGAGAACACGTCTCCACTTCTCTAGAGTCCAGTGGCGGCGTGCTTTACACCACTGCATCCGAAGCTTTGCATTGCACTTGGTGATGTAAGCCTTGGATGCAGCTGCTCAGCCACGGAAACTCATTCCATGAAGCTCTCTACACACTGTTGTCTGAAGGCCACACAAAGTTTGGAGGTCTGTAGCTATTGACTCTGCAGACAGTTGGCGACTTCTGCGTACTGTGTGCTTCAGCATGCTCTGACCCCGCTCTGTCATTTTGCGTGGCCTACTACTTCGTGGCTGAGTTGTTCCCAGTTGCTTCCACTTTGTTATAATATCAGTAACAGTTGACCGTGGAATATTTAGTAGCAAGAAATTTCACGGAACACCTGAATCCAATGATTTGGAGGGGCGTCCCAATACTTTTGGCAATATAGTGTAAGACCTCAAAAAACAGTTACTGAAAAATGGCCACCAAATGTATCACATGAAACCTGTAGCTGAAATCTTCCTGGGAAAGAGAAACAATTATAACAAGGTTCTAGAAGCAGAAGGCAAATTTGACATAGGTTGTAACACAGCTGTGTACGAGAATACTAGAAGAACACTAGTACCAGCAAATACAGAGGTAGCATATGCAAAGTACGCCAATGTTGAAAATGGGATGACTGAAAACCATAAATGGCAATGCAATTATACAGAAAATGGGTAATACCTGTCTATATATTTCTATGCTTTGTCATAGACCTAAAACACTTTATACCATTAGAAACAGTGCAGTTAAAAAGGACTTGCTAAATCAAAGATATTTTTTGTGCAAAAACCACCCGTGCTCCTTTTTAGCACGAGATCAGCCCTGGCGTTTGGCTATTTAGCAATACAAACTTTGTCAGCCATGGGGGAAAGGAATGGGCAATAAATGAGGGATAACTGATGGAATGGAGACATAGCTACTAATAACAGGAATCCAGGATCTGCCTACCACCATTACATGTACTTTACTCCTTGTGCTTTTGGACTGTAAAGTCCTACCAGTGTTTAGTTGTTTTTGTATCCTGGTTCTACATGGATTATACTGGAACACTTAGGTTAGTCATTTCCTCTGGCTAGCATACAACTGGTTTTAAGGGAACATGTAATCCTTATTTGTAATTCTGCACACAACGCATTTCTGATTACACCATTCTCCATCTGCAGCCATTTTTTGTGTCCACTGGGGCACACCACAGTATAAATGTACTTCGAGTAGCTCAAATTATTTACACCCCTGAACGTGGTTAACAGGTCTTCTAAAAGGGTGATTTCACCATGTGGAAAGACTGGCAAGAGGTTGCAGTCCTGCAGAGAATCTTTGGCAGTCAAATATATTATACATACACACAAAACACAGTTGGGCAGAGACCAACTTATTTCCCACTCCATGGAAAATTTGGAAATTGTCTTTAAACCTTCAAGAGAAAAAAAAATACATAATTTATAAAAAACATTATGATCATCCACCCTGATATGCAGCAGGTCCCCTTTTGCTGCCAAAACAGTCCTGATCTACAGCCGAGTGATCCACAAATAAGATACATTTTGTTAATAGTTAGGATAATTGAATGTATTTTTAAAATTTAATTCCAGAGTTTAGCGTCACTTCAATCAACCTGTCAATTCTTATAGTGTACACTGTGCAAACATACCAACCACGTGATACTAGATGGTTTGTGACTTAAGGCATCAGAAACAAAATAATCTATGTTAAATGAAAACTTTCCAGATTCAATATGAAAAATGATTTATTAAAGATAGAAAGACCCTTTGAGATGACCAAGTATCTAAATTTGGTTTGCAATATTAATATATTATGTTACTGGAAATTACATAGTAAACATTTTAAATGTTCAGAACATCAAAAACTGATATTTCAGTAATGGGGTAGGCCCAGTGGCCTCAACCTCAGGAACTCCCAAGTTCTTTGCTCTGTTTTGCTATGGAATCTCCCTCCTCCATTGGGTCCTTGCACCCGCCACAGCACAAGGGGAGAGCTGGAAACACAGATGCAGAGATCTTGCTTGTGGTGTCTACGTTAGACAAAAAGCCAAATACATTTTTGCCTGCCACACTGCACAATCAGGCCAGTGCCCCATTCACAGTCATGTGGAAAAGAAACTACAGCCGCATAACGTGATTGAGGTAAGTGTGATGCATTATACCTTTTAAAATATTGATTTCAGAATTTTGGGTAAGAAAAGTTGGGGGCGTCTTATACATAGGGGCGTCTTATAGACGGAAAAACTGCACGGTCTGACCTTGGTGTGAGTTTGCTTGGTGTGAGAGTTTGCTGGGAAGATTGGCAACTCTTGAATGTTTTCCACTTCTGAATAATCTTCCTCACTGTAAGGACTTTAAATTGTTATAACCGTTCCAAAATTTATGGGCTGCAACAATTGCTTATACAAGATCATTGCCGATGTCTTGCCTCCTTGGCATTGTGTTAAAACACACCCGAACGCTCCAGACCAGAAAACTGCTAAAAAGGTTGGCTTGCTGATGGGAAAGGGGATTTGATGAGCAGCTATGTAGCCTCCTAATTCCTATGGAAGCAGTAAGAGTGTACTTCCTTTTTCACACACAACTTCTCCATTTGGGCTTTATGTTTGTAAAATAAATAATCACAGTGTAATAGGTCACGTGTTCACCTAACTTTTAACCGAGGACCAGATTATTACTATGTGCTGATACTTAAAACCATAGAATGCAAAGAGGGTGTACTTTCTTTGTCACATGACTGTATATGCTGTGTAACCAAAGCATCTTTCTAGGTCACCTGTACACCACTAGCCTGCTCAATTAACAAAATCCGCATGGTTTAAAAAAAAAAAAATTCTTGATAGTCCCACAAGCAGGGGGGTTTTCTAGAAGCAGTAGGAGACCTGAATCGGGATGTAGTAGAGCCTTAAAAAAAAACACCAATGGTTTGCCAGGTAAAACAGTAAGCATATGTATTTCAGCTGCGCATCTAGCTGTTTGCATGAAGATCCACTTGCTTATTATGGATGAGGTTTCAGAAACAGGTCACAATGAATGCACCAATGTGCTTGAACCAACAATTAACATTTTATAAGTGATATATGGAGGCTGCTATTGCCAAGCTCACGTAAATGCTAGGTGCCTGGCTAGTTATCTTGACCTGCCGTCAATGTTTCCCAAGTCCATGACCTGAAACAACTATGTGGACAAGGAAAGTCAAAGCAAATCAGAAACCATTACTAGCATACGTTTTCTGGGTAAAAAGTCAAAGTGTTGTGCTAAAGCAAGATAGTCAGCCTAACTGTAAGGCAGCTAGCATTTGCAGAGTGACATGTCAGAAGTGACCACCTCCATGTCTCTCTCCTTGTCCACCATACCATTCACTACTAGTTTCATTTCATGTCTAGAACACTAGGGGCTAAAAAAAAAATAACTTTTTTAAAAAACAAAGTCAATTGTCAACAACCAACACTGATTTCTGCCCAAGTAAGCAAGAGTTTTTTGTTTTTTTCACTCAAGAGTTTTATTGTAAGACATTTGCAAGGCCAATAAAAATGTTATTCTGGAGCAACAGTAAAGTGCTGTGTTAAATTAGGAACCTGAATCTCTCATTCGCATTTCTTTACTTCTGGTCAAAACAAGAGCCCTTCCTGCTAAAGAACATAGAAGCATGATGGGTAGACTTGACAACTCAAAGTTATCTGAATGTATGGACTCCATACATCAAAGGAGGAGGTTTCTGCTTCTTTGAAAAACAAAACGGCATGTCGCTGATTAAAGAGGCATACCAACGCATGCAGGTTACCTGAACAAATTACTGAAAACAAAAAACATTAATGCAAACTATAAGAAGGCCTGGCCTCAGTCCAGCGTCCTATCAACTGTATAATCATACTACATATGCATTAGTATGGACTAATAATGCAGCATACCACACAGACATCTATTAGGAATTTCATTTAAAGGGACACTGTCAAACCTCTGTAACAAAGAATGTGGACTTTTTTTTGCACATTAGTGTAATTCTAGATTACCTCACTCTCCAAGGCTGCTAGTCATTTTCAGTGCACAGTTTTGGTTCATATACTCAATTTGGTGACAAAAAAAAAAAAAGAAGAAGAAGGGAGTGGCTGCCAACTGAATAACCATTCTTTTTTTTTACTATGGAAAAAAAACACTATTTTTTTTTTTTTTTTTTCTTCTTTATATATAGAAGTCACTAGATTAGACTGGGACTGTGCAAGCCTACCCATACCCATACTACACCACCACTCTTATATTAAAACTGACAGCTCTTGGTTTAAAACATTTTTTTCTTGATAGTGTCCCTTTAAGAAAGGGTATTTAAAAAGTACCAATGGGCTCATTTACGAATGTCTGCAGTGAGAAGTGCCAGCAATCAAACTGCAGCAGAAAAGGGCAGCAGTAAATGGAATCAGGATTGCTACAGGCCAAGAAAGACAGTTCTCATCTCCGACAGTTTGCTAAATGAGGAGCTATCCGAAGACAAATAAGTAAGAGGCTTTCTGCACACTCTTGTAATGTTGAGCATTGAATTTAATTCAAAAGGTTTGGAAAAGCAAGAATACTCCCAAGATACCTCTCTTGTATTTCTAGATCAAGGGAAGGCAGTTGTGACGTCAAATGTTGTTTTGCCCGCAGAAGCTAGCAAAACTCCTACTAAATAGCCATGCTGTTTAGTGCAGAATGGAAAACAAATGACAAATTGTGTTGTAATTGGGCTGGCAAAATGCTGCATAGAAGTATGCTAACACACAACAGTCATGTCTAAGCCAGTGCATAGAGGAGATAAAGCACTTATGGTAATTGCAAACATTAACATGTTCATAAAGCTTTTACAAATTAGCAATGGTCCATAGAAAGATACCCATCGAAACATTGGGAGTGAAAGGCTTGGAGATTACAAGAGCGGAAATGACCTGAACTCAGGCAAGAAAAAAAAAAAAATCCACAAAGCCAGCAAAATAGCAGGAAGCCACCAGAAAAAAAAGGCATAAGGGGGAAAAAAAAACGTGTGCCACTCTCCCCACCCCAATAACAGGCAGAAAACAAACCACATGGAAACAGAATTTGGCAGATTGTACAAGTTGAGGTGCAGAAAATACAATTTAAAAAGGACATAGAAAACCAAATTTGATATATATTCAAATTGAAATATGGGTAACGAATCCTTCCAGAGGAGATGATACTATGTTGTAGACAAGTGGATCATGACATTACCAGCTGAAGCATAACTGATGTCTCCTATCAACAGTGCTTTATTAATAAGCCAACAGTCAAAGCGCACATCCTTCACGTGTACTAGAGGTCCAGGCAAAGCATCATCTATGAAGCAAAACAAAGCTCTCCAGCTTCTCAGGAATTTGCTTTCTGTATGTTATGTTGTGTTTGACAATCACACGTGCAGCCAAACACTGCAAGGTGGTGTGGTTGATTGGCTGGATTAAGTTCTTTGCAATTTCCTTCTCATCCAGCAAATCACAGGCAGTTTGGTTGTGCGAATTTGTAGAGTCAAAATGTGCCCCAGTTTTTATAAGCAGATTCATGATATCCGGGTGGTTGTTGAGAGCAGCGATGTGTAGCGGACTGTTCTGTTCAGAGTCTCGGACATTAACATCAGCGCCACACTCTAACAAGATGGCGGTAACCTGAAGAGAAGGGAATTTGCAAACGGGGTAGCGGCCAACACAAGTGGTGTTCTTATCCACAGCCAGGTGAAGAGGGCTAAAGTTATTTTTACCTTTAGGTTGCAGCTTAAGGAACCTATAAATGTTCTGTTTTTTGAAGTGCTCTTGGTCCGGGCTGCAGGGAACTTTCTCCAGCAAACAGATCAAGTGCAAAATTATAGAGAGGGCCTTGTTTAGCTGGACTTGGTCAGGAGGCATCAATGCTTGTTTGACTGCTCGGTCTATTTCCAGCACACTTTTACACAGTATACCCATAAGGTCATCAAATGTAACTGTAGTACCAAGCAATCCTTTAGCCCGATCCTGAAGCATGAAGGAAAATAGCTCAGCAAATGATAACAGACTACTTGCTGTCATTGGACTTAGAGGATCCAGGTTGTTCTGCTGCATGTCCAATGCATACTTCCACAGATTGATGCAACGCTTGAAGTTCCCAGAATCGGCATAGACTGCACCCCGATACCTGATGTAATAGGATGTATCTGGGTGTGAAGGGCCTAAAATTCGTTCTCTAATTAAAAGAGCTTGCATTCTCATCTCATCAGGGTCAGCTATAAGGTTATCTAGCTCTTCAGCAGTATTTACCTCCTTGGCATTGTCATATGCCATAATTAATTCCTGCGGAACAGGTTTGCTAATAACGTTAGTCCTGTCACTGTATCTCATATCCATAGCTCTCTTCCAATACTTTAAGGCACCAAGTAGGTCCCGTTTTTTATCGACGAATGTAGCTCCAAGAAGTTCAAGGGCATTGATGCGCTCTCTCTTACTGGTCTGTGGGTGCTGAGTCAGGAAGTCCACAATATTGGTGTGACCAGTCACACTGGCTGAGAGTAGCGGTGTCATGCTATAGCCATCCTTCTCCATTCTGGCTCCATATTTTAGAAGCATTTTCATGATTTCTAGGCTTCCAGATTCAGCACAGTCATGCAAAGCGGTGTTCCCTAAAAAAAAAAAAAAGATGGAGATAATGTTTAGCCAAATTATACAGGAAAACAGGCATGCACAAAAGGCAGGAACAGCTTGCTTAAATAGATAACTTGGTGCTAAATACATTCTAGTGCATGCATGATAGCAGGAGGCAGCATTGTCAGGCTGGTACAGACACACTGGGAGACTAATCATGTATAATGGAGATTTTAAAAGGTGGAGAGAAATATTTTGATAAACAATAATCCGTTGCGTCGTTTTGTCCTTAAGGATCTTTAGGACCTGGTCACCTGAGCGCAAGTCAAAATGTACTGTCACCTTTAGGCCTCATTCACACTGCCACGCATATATGTGCGTACTGTACCATATGCAAATAAATGGCTCCATACACATAGCTGCATATGGAGTCGTATATTTGCGCAGCGTAAAAAATGGGCAGCGTATTTACGCACGTACAGTTCATTATCATTTCTATTACGAATGATGCATTGTGGGATTGCAAATAGTGCACACATATACAATTTTGTTCTTGCGTTGTGTGTGAAAGCATTTCTAATGAGCATGACCGGACTATAGCCTTGCTATTTATGTTAAAAAAGTTTGGGGACAGATAGAGCTTTCTTTTGGAGGTATATAATCACCACGGGGGTATTTTTTCTTTACTATATAATTAAAAAAAGTACCATAAATGTAAAATAAAAAATAAAAAAGTTTCCCTACGTTATGTTATAAAACATTTATTCTTACCCATATTTTTAGTAAAACATAAAAGTCAGGGTCACGTCGGATAAATAGACACCAAACATGTCAAGCCTTAAAATTGCGTGCGCCCGCAAAAAACGCCCACAGTTGTATGTATGTATGTATGTATGTATGTATGTATGTATGTATGTATGTATGTATGTATGTATGTATGTATGTATGTATGTATGTATATATATATATCTGTTGTGTTAACATTAATCATTTTACAAAAAATCTAAACTAAACACGTTGAAGCTTCTAGATTGTTTTTCCCGTAACCTCCAACCCCCATGTTGTTTCACACTACAGTGCTGAAAATAGACAAAGAAAGAGCTAAGCAGGAGAATCCTAATTAACTGATCAGAGGTAATAAGATATGGATTCTTAAGCAAAGGACTTATTGCACGAAGGCGACAGCATGAGTCACTAATGTTGTCAGAGCTGTTAGGTACATATCCTCTTAGAAAACTATCAAGCTGTTTAATCAAATGACTGGCAGAGATCAAAAAATATTATACATACAGTCGTGTGAAAAAGAAAGTACACCCTCTTTGAGGTCTATGGTTTTACGTATGAGGACATAATAAAAATCATCTGGTCCTTAGCAGGTCTTGGAATTAGAAAAATACAACGTCAGATGAACACACACAAAAACATATTACACAGTGTCATTTACAAACAAAGCCAAAATGGAGTAGCTATGTGTGAAAAGTACACCTTAAGATTCAGTAGCTGGTAGAACCACATTTAGCAGCAAACCCGAAGTAACCATTTTCTGTATGACCATCAGTCTCTCACATTGTTGTGGAGGAATTTTGGCCCAGTCTTCTTTACAATATTGCTTCACTTCATTGAGGTTCATGGGCATTTGTTTACGTACAGCTCTCTTATGGTCCCAGCATAGCATTAAATTGTTGAGGTCTGGACTTTGACTGGGCCATTGCAACACCTTGATTCTTTTCTTTTTGAACCATTCTGTTGTAGATTTGCTGGTGTGCTCGGGATCATTGTTTTGTTACATGACCCAATTTTGGCCAAGCTTTAGCTGTCTGAGAGATGGCCCCACATTTTTACTCTAGAATACTTTGGTATACAGAGGAGGTTATGGTAGAATAAAATCACTGCAGGGTGCCCAGGTCTTGTGGTTGCAAAACAAGCCCAAATCATCACCCCTCCACCACCATGCTTGACAGTTGGTATGTGGCGTTTGTGACTATATGCTGCGGTGGCACAATACACAGTACCACAATTGTCGAAAACCAAACAAACAGTTACACCTTGCTCTCATCTGTCCAAAGGACACTGTTCCGGAAGTGTTGTGGTTTGTTCAGATGCAACTTTGCAAACCTAAGCCGGGCTGCCATGTTCTTTTTAGAGAGAAGACAAAGAGGCTTTGCCCTGGCAACCCTTGTTTGGCTGGTATGCAATGGTGTCCAACATTGCCATGAAACCTGTCACTGGCAGGCACTAGGAGCATGCAAAGCTCTGCGCTCTCACAAATCGAAGAATAAATTAAGCTACAGAGCTAGGTCAGGTAATATGGAATGTATACTCTAAAACAGTGGTTCTCAACCTGTGTAACCTCAGGACCCACATTTGTCCTTAGTCATTAAGTCGCAACCCAAGTTGCGCCACACTGGAACCTAGTTCCTGTAAGTAAAGATCCATCCAGTCTCCTCCTTACCTTATGAGAACTGGAGTGGATCCTCAGCCTGGGGTCCAGTGTGGGCTGCTGTGCTGTGGTGGAGCTCCATCCATATGTGCATTGCTTGAACAGCTCCCTTGCATGCCCTGTAGGGTGCCAGGAGTCAGAATTTGCGGTCAGTCTGGTCCAGGCACCTCTGCAGGACATGCGAGGTAGCTGTAAGCAATGCATGTATGGATGGATGGAGCTTCCTCGCGGCCATAGCCCCAGCCCACCCCACCTCAAGCCGGTACTCTGTGCCGAGCAGCATATTTTAAATGGCTACTCGGCGCAAGAATGGACAGTGCTGCTCTAGGGGGGTGGCTGAGGAGCCTCAGTGGAAGGTACACGGCGACCCACTAAACACTGGGTCGTGACCCACCCTGTGAGTACCACGGTTCTAAAATATAAAAAGTAACTTTTAAAATATAGCCTTAATATTATAACAAACTAATATCTACATTATTAAAAATACATATTGCCAAAAATAACTCAAAATAGGTTTCCAACAAAAAAAAACTCCATACCTTTATTGTACAGATTCAATTTGGAAATGTTACTCTGTATTGGAATATTAATGGGATCAATCTTGTTTTTTAATCATGGGACATTGATTTAGATTTTGAAGTTATATGTAATTATGTTATATTTTAAAGTATAAATTTAAAGATAAAAAATAGAATAAAACATTTGAGATTTGGGGACACAGTAACATTTAAAGTGAAAAAAAACAACAAAATTTTTTTTCCAGCAGCATTCGAGTATAAGTGACCTGGGCAGCTGTAGAGCCGGGTCACTTGTACGCGCCTCCAGAGAGGAGGCAACACCGCCGGTTCCGATCATTGAGGGATTGTTCATACAAGCAGCCGAGCTCAATCGCACAGGTGCTAGTGTGCATGTGCCTGGCCCAGTGCTGATGTGCCCAATTGAGAGGCATCGGACGGTTTTGCTTTGTCTTGCATTCGTGCTGCTCCGGAAAACAAAACGCCCAGCACAGCCTGAACGCATCGTTTGTGAACAGGCCCTGAAGCACGAAGTGTTGTGTTCTCAGTGCTTCCTGCTTCAGAAATGGCTGAAATGCTGGTTAAATAGGTGATCAAGAAGAATCCTGTGCTTGATCGTCTGCAGTGGAGGACAGTGGAGACATTAGGGGTCTAATAGAGTCCAATGTTTTGTTGGCACTAAGGTTAGGGTCACACCTTTGTGCCCGCATTTTTCTGTGTGTTAATGCATGTTTTGACTTTTTCATGCGTTGTATGTTTTCGGTTTGGTCAGTGAAATTCAAATAAAGTAAAAGTAGAGAAATTCAAATAAAGTAAAAGTAGGGGTGGGATTTTGCGGTCATGTGCTAAAACGCATGTTAAAGGCATTGTTCGTGTGCTGCTCTTGAAGTTGATGGGGCACGTTAAAAGGAGAACTATGAGGTGAGTGCTTTTCACTCACCTCATAGTTCTAGCCGACCTGTAACAATGAGACTGTCACAGGTCGGTTCAGTAGATCGGGAGGTGAGCGAACACATACCGGCGTTCACTCACCTCTAGATCCTGTCAGGGCTCTCTGCCGTGACAGGGGCTGGATTCCCCCCTCCCAGCTCCGATCCTCCAGCACTGACTGGTGGAACGGACGGGGGAGGGGGCGGGTACAGCTGGCTCTGACTCTAGATAGGCAGAGCCAGCTGTCACTCACGCAGCTGGGCGGATCCCAGCACAATTGTCAGGATCCGCTTCAGCGTCTCAGTATACCGCGAGTTGTAGGGTGACTGAGCCTAGGGTGACGGGAGGACGCTGGTTTGTGTTCTCCCGTTACCCTAAGGAGAACTATGGGGAAAAGCCTTAACCCCATAGTTCTCCTTTAATACAAAAAAAAAAAAAAGCCCCTCTACTATTAATCCTGATGTATGGCAGGGTAGCACAGGGTTGTGAATGGGCCCTATAGAAAAGATTGACAATCCTCTTGTTGTGCATTAGTGTGGTTTGGGCAACGCAAGTTAAATTGGACATATACCAATTTAATTACCAGCTCTGACACATTCATATTTAAAAATAATTTGTTTCTAACAGAAACCACAAACTAAACCGTAGAATTAGATTTTTGTGGCCGATAATTACCATTTAAAGAAAAACAAAACAAAATGCAGTCGTAGAAAATAACGAACTACAACCATAGAACAAATACCAAACTCAGAGCAGTCTGTGTAACTGCTAAGCACATTCTACAGACTAAAGTTTTCCAAGTTCCCAACATGCAGACACGCCCCGAGTAGGAATGTGCCTGTACCTAGGACAGAACCTTACGTACAGTACCCTGTCTATTTACATAGCAGTCTGTATTTCACACAGACCTTAACCCCCCTATTGCTGGAAATATACTCCAGCAAACAAATTGGCATCAGAATGCCAGAGTATTCTCTAACCAATTTAACTGAAATAAAAGCAATCCGGGAGCAGAACTATTCACTGTGCACTAGAAACATTCTGAGGGGAATCCATCAAAACTGGAGTAGACCCAATCTGGAGCAGCTGTGCCTGGGAACCAATCAGCTTCTCTCTTCAGTTTGTTCAGTTAAGATTTGAAAATCAAAGAGAG